CGGATCGGCCCAACTTTTTTAAGGATTTGTCCATGCACTTAAGTTTTCTTATGGGGTAAACTCTCTTTTTAATGATGCCTAGAGAGGCCATTAAGGTTACTATATTCACCATTTTCACATAGACCATAATTTATGCACCTTGTTTACCCCGAAAATTTTGCATTTTGTTTTCAGTTTCTCCTGGATATTACAGTCATATATCTCAAGAGAAATATTGAATATTGAAAAGAATGTTGATGCAAAATTTTGGGGGCAAACAAGGTGCATTATGGTCTATGTGAAAATAGTGAATCGGTGGATTTTCTTAATGATACAAAATAATGCATTTGTTGGAGTTTGAAGTACGTAGCACAAAACCTTGATGACACTGCCCCTAAAAAGTAATTGGAAAGTTTGGCACTTGTATAAACTTAAAACATCGAGCTATTCAATAAAATCACCCTGCCATTTTCTTGTTGTCTTGCTCAACACGGAATTTAGACCTTCTTATTTGGCTTCTTGATTATGTTAATCTCGATATTGAAAATTCGTGTCCCAAAACAAATTGCATAGATTCTTTAGTGTTATATAGAGGATATTACATGGTGGCGCGAAGATAATGCGCTCGTTCGTAAAATATTGTTTTTGCCACGAGAAAATAAAATTCATATCTTCAAGCCGCCGTGTAATGTTCTTTTTATTATATAGACAAAAAGACATTGATAAAATAATAGAGGGAAATTACCGACATTACGTCATCGATAAACTCACGTGTGAGATTATGGAAAATAAACCACTCGGGTCCCGGATGTAGTTTTTATGAATTTTACGAGTGGTATATTTTCCAGTAAAACACTCGTGTCTATATATAATAAATGTTAATAAAAATTGCAGACTGTCCAATCACAGGCATGAAAACCTAAAAATACCGGCCTGCATTTTTGTAAAAATCTAAAAAAAAGTTACGAATTTTTTTCCACACACCCTTTCATTATAAATTGTTGATTAAAACTAATAAACTCGAAGACACAACAGTAAGTGAACAGTGCAGATTTTTTCGGGATGAATGTCATCAAAGGCAAAGTTTTGCATTTTCCTACATGTACGTATACAGTTGGTTGGCTTCACTGGACGTGACCAGGCTAGGTTTAGCCAATTAATAATAAACATCTATTGCTTATAACTTTATTAAATGAATTACAGACTAATAGGCATGTTTACATTAATATTTTTCATTTTTTCCACATATTTATCATGCAACAAAATCCTAGCAGTGGTTAAATAATGACCTTGTTAGCTGATTAAGATTTGGGCACAAGGCCATTAATATTAATTTTACAGCATTTTGTTCTAGGCAATGATGTCATAGCTTCTTTTCAAGTTAATATGCAAAAAACAACTTGAAGTATAAACTCTAGATCTCAGTCAACACCTTATTTGCTTTGTTTTGCTTCGTAAACAACTTTTTTTTCCTGAGGTTTTGTTTGCTTGTTGTTCATATAGAGTTTATTACTTCAGCAGCTGCAGAAACGTATAAAAAAATTTCCCCCCCCCCAAAAATCAATATTACTCTACTCTTCGTTTTTGACTTTTTTAAAATGATTTTCACTGCGTTTTCTGAAAACTTTTTACCAGAAAATAAACTTGCGGCTGACTTTTCACAGACCTTCACATTAACTGCCTTTTCCTGACCACTTGCAAACTTTTCCTGATTTTCCTCTGGCCAAGAAAAATCACATTTCTTTTATAATCATATGTATAACTATTTATATTATAGATTTTCCCTGATTATGTCTGTCCATGATAACACTGTCATTGACACATTTTGGCTGTGCTGTGATTGTCCCAGATGCCTCAAATAATGTTCAGATGATCGGGACAATCATATGAAAACCCTACACAGACGATCGCAAATGACCTGGATGACTGAGATGACCTCTATCGATCGCGTGAATAGAGTTGAGTTCTATGCGGACAATTGGGAGCATCGTGTAAATTTTGAAGTGATCTGGAAATGCTCTCAGATGACTGAGACTATCAGGACGATCAAAGGCTATCCCAGAAATCATCACTATCATTCCATTAATTGAGAATATATTCGGCCTGGATGCCGCTGAAGTCAAAAATAATTAAAAATGTTCACATCACGTATGGGTGCTATTTGAATTAAAGAGAAAGTCTGTTTCATCAAGTTCTATACGTGATACAATATCTTTGTGGAACTGACTTCTAGTTTGTTGACACCACAAAATAGAGAGAAAAAGAAGATAGCATAGCTCAAGATTTGCTCACCATTTAAAATCCATCATTACATGTATGTTTGGCTTGTTTGTGAAACCCACACAAAAATTCTATTGTCTGACTCAGAGACATCGCTGATGACACCCCGTGTCTCTTGTCGTTGAGGCACCCGTACGATCACATGGAAACCACCTATCGTCCCAGTTGTCTAGATCATCTCAAAACTTTTTTAAACGACTGTGGTGATCGGGATGATCATATGGAAACAAGGCTTTATATGCCTATCTCCCCATAATAAACACTTAGAGATCTCCATCTTTAAGGTGATTGCTGCAGAGTTTCACCTACAGCTGTATACTAACATTAAAAGCCGGAGTCAAGCTTAATATTTTAATTAGAGAGCATCATAAAATATTTTTCCTGGAGAAGATTTCAAAGGTGTATTTTGATGTGGCATGCGATTGAGTTACAATGTAGAGCATTTCAAACTTAAAAACCTGAATCTTTAACAAAAAGAGTTATAGAGAAGCTGGTAAATGATGAGGATGTTCTTGTAAACCAACTGAATCTGGATTGTATTATTTTCCATTCTGCACAAACAAAAATATTATTATACCACCAATTGTTAAAGAAACAAAAGAATGTTGCTGTACTTACAGTAAACACCCACTCACTAATACGAAACTGTGGTTTAAGAACCTGCTGGAGAACATAAAGTCCTGAACAAAGCAGCTAAAATAGTTCTAAAATAGGCTGGGCAAAAAGAAAAGGAAACTCAACAAGGCAGCTCTCAAAACAGTTAGCAAGCTAAGTCTGGGGCAGTTTCCTGGAAAGAGACGGTTGGAGGCCTGTGAGATGGCAAAAAAAAACCTTGCTCAGTCCACCAAGTAACGTTCAGCTAGTCTCCTTGGCAAAGAAGTAAAAAAACCTTACTGCAGAGAGAGGCCGGGATGATTATATTTCGTTTACATGAATGCTTAAAATATTTTTTTGGCTGCCTAATCTAAAAAAATGATATTGTTTGGGGGTCAAAGTGGCTCCTGTGTACCAGGTGATGAAAAAGCTAAAAGTGGCTCATATGGGGCTCTAGACGCTATGATGACTTATCCCACTCTATGCCATGTGCAATGGCTACAGAATGTGATAAGAAAAAAAAGGGGACCTGCAGCTTACGGAACTTCTGAATACAATCATGTACTTGATAGAGCAATAAACATCTTTTAGAAATTTCATGTAAAAATAAAGTTTTGATCAAAAGTTAATAGTGAGCATGAAATTAGAGGAACAAACTTTTGGGACACCCTGTACATCTCCTTCATAAAAATTAAGAACCTACAGTTGTACTTAGCCTTAATTACTCTGTAACGTACCCCAAAATAAATGAACCTTTTTTGCCAGACCTCAAAAAAAAATGTAATTTAGGTTGTTATTAGCGAGTGTTTACTGTACATGTGTGACAAGGTCACTTAAGTTCATTTTAAGCTTATTTTATTTCCAAATTATTTTCAACTATACTCATTATCCTAATGGTTATTAATTGGTTGTTTACCTAAATATCTTTATTTCCTTACACACCTTATTG